GACACCCCCTTTGTCTAACAATAATTTGAACGTGTTGTTTGTTCTTCAATCGTTTTCTTGGACCCTGATAAGGTTCTCCTTAATTTTTATAAGTGAGCCTCTAGTCTCATTCCTGAATAACACATTAATTGTTATTTCGTTCAACCATTTAATATGGATAGAGTTGAAATCCTCGTTAATCCGAACTTCAACTCCATTCCCTTCTATCACTATTTTGTCAAATGAGGTAATTTTCAAGATGATACCCTCATTATAGCATTATGAGAACAGGTTTTTTGTGTTTTTCTCATCAACTTCATATTCTAGAGGAATAGACAAAGTTGATCCAGGTAATCTCACATACTAACGCTCATGCCATATCATGGATTGATTTTTGAAAAATATTAGATCTTTCATCTCCCCGAATGCTATGATGATGACTCTTGAAGTGTTAATTGGCTATTCATTGGATTACAACTGAGTTGCAACGACAAGGTGGTTTTCATTTCCTTGTGAGAAGCATTCACCTTACAAGCAGAGATACTTGCAGTTGAATTGATATCGAGGGTTTAAAAACAACTACAGTCTCAATAATTTATGCATAGTAGTGTGATTCAAATGTACGGAGATGCTATGCGTGGATAAGAAGAATGATGTATGCATTGAAATAGAACAATTCTCACATTGTTCGTTATTCATCAGAATTTTGTATTTACTCTCAGAAGTTTTGGAAGGTGATGGTTATAAACCACTAGCGGTTAATGGAAGGCAAAAAATTCGGGGTTTTTCGTCGCGTCGCCACAAACAATGTTGTCGTCCTTTTGCGAACAAACTATGCAGAGTCATAATACTAACATCAAAAAAACAATCAGGCAAAAAAAAAAACGAAAAAAATAAAATTAAGAGTACTATAATTTTTTTTTCCGGAGTAGCTTTCGGAGTTCGCCAAAGTTTTTTTGGAGTCTGGTGTTTTTGCTAAGTTTTTTGTTACTGCTTCAAATACGGCAAAACTGAATACAAATATACCCTAAAGAGAAGTGGTTAATGGAAGGCCTAAAATTCGGCGAATTTTTGCGAATTTTTCACCGAAACTGCCATATTTCTTTGAATTTTTATTTTTTTTCGGTTTTTTGTATTATGACCTTGCATAGTTTGTTCGCAAAAGTTTCGACAACATTGTTTGTAGCGACACGGTGAAAACCCCCAAATTTTTAGCCTTCCATTAACTGCTAGTGGGATCGTTTGAAAATGTCGAAAGAAGTCACACTGTGATTGTGAGAGTGATCACCTCATGTTCGAAAACCCACTATGACTATATTGTGTATTTGTGCGCTTTGATTGGCCATATGCAAGGGGTGACTGAGTTGGGTTGAGAGAAAATAAAACGTCTCTCGAGTTGCTCGTTAAGTTTTATAGTTGGACATTGAGGTCTGTGGCGGTTGTCAAAGCTAAACCCCTTGATATGTTCTAAGGCCTTTGGATGTGAGGCTTCTTCCTATAAACTAGGGGCGTTCCGCCGCCACGAAAGGCTGTAGTGTGATTACCGCTTCTCTGCGCAGTGTGCAAGAGAGGGTAGGACACACAATCTCATTCTCGATTGTCTAGCGTCATGAGAATGACCCCTCAGGACGTGTGGCAACCGACATCTAAGTGTCAAATGCGATCATATGTTTAAGAAGAGATTGCATAGTCATGACCACCACATAATACGCCGTCATTCCGACCGCTTGCGTACTTATGCATAACTAATAGATATGATGAGATATGCGTCGTCGTGCTATTTATTCAAAGACTTGCATGCGGTATACACTTATTCATGTGTCGAAGAGTTATGGGTTAAATTGAGAAAGGGGCTAAGTGCGATTCGAGTATGAGGTTTGAACTTGCTTTCTTTTGTAAATGTATTGAGTGGTTAGATTATCCGTCCTAGTCGATCATCATAGAATCGTGCTTGGGAGATCGACGCCCCAAACGACGGTTCGCGTACGCGTTGGATTAAGGCGATAACAACACGTACCCCCTATGCTAGTATAACGAACGAGGAACACCCTAGGTTGGGCCCCCTCTGCGATTGCACTTGATAAACTTTTGTACGTGGTTCATTAGCTCGGCGGGGATACGCCCACCTCCGGGATGGTGACCACTCACATAGGTGGAGTAAGTTGTACCTTCGCATGACCCTATCATGTCGTAATGATTTACGAGAGGTATGGTTGGCGCACTCGGTCGGAGCGGCACCACTCGGTTACAAGTCCTAAATCCTGCATAACGCAGTTGGGAGGGTCTCCTGTGGGACCGATGCGCTCGACACCGTGCCAACACCGAATAACTGAGAGCAACTTGGCATAGTCGGTTGTTCCCCCTATAGCAAATGATAAACAGATCATGAGCTTCAATCCTCAGTCTCTGGATTCTTGCTCGACTATCGGTCCAGTACTGAATTGGCCTGTTTGGGAAACCAATGAATTAGCTAACACAGACGCAAAGGCGAATGAAACAAAGTCAAGTCAATGCGTGGCCGCGTGATAAAGATTGTCAGGTGCATGGCTGCACCTGAATCTCCTGGCTGTGAATGGACATCCTGTCCAGGTCACCAATGAGTCTTACCAGACTACTCACCGACATGTTTTTTGGTTAGGTCTGCATCACTGCACTACCTTATAAATTCTCATTTGTCATAAAGTGGCCCGAATTCATGCAGACTTCAATTAGTGAGGGCTCAACAAAATAGCATGAACTCCCAGCCTGCTACGCACAATTTGTTCTTCCTTTCTTCAACTAAGTTGTAATCTTCTCTCAATCTATCTATATGTTGATCTATCTCATCTATCTTATCCTCTTACTCTAACCGGGATCTCTCCTCAGCCCACGGGGTAAGTTTGCACTACAATAGTGGTGTGAAAGCAAGACTATATCAGGCATTCGTCACGGTGATGCAGGGTGGGCAGACATGGTCGATGGGGGGAACCGACAATGCTAGTGCCGAACACTATGGCCATTCGCTGCACCTCCCCCTACCTCCCCCCAACCCCACATTAGTGGTGCCAATATTGTTGCTGCATAGTAACCAACAACATTGGCCAAGGTCCTGCCAATGCTGGCTTGGGTGGACAACGGGTTATCTTTAGCTGGTAGAACACCAAGGTTGCCCAACACGTATGTGAGACCAATTGGGATTGAACCCATGACCTCCTGAATGCAATTTTTGTGCCTTACCAACTGAGCTAGGCCGCAAGTCCCACAACTTGCCGATTCGGTAGGAGTTTTTCGACACAGTTGAGTTTGGTGATGTTTCCACCCGTCCAGACTGTTGGTCTGGACATACATTTTGTCCTCTTTTTTTGTCTTTACGGGGCATGGTGGGACACGATTTCCTTCATAATAGAAGTTTGGTGAGCTGGCGCGGCGACACCTGAGTTTGGTGAGGTTTTGAGACCTGGCTGCTTGGGTGAGCGCTCACTAACTATTATCAAGTTTGGTGAGGTAGGGCATCGCCACACCACTCTCGAAGTGTGCAAAATAAGAATGAACTTTCCGCTAGAACATGACCAGATACACCCGCCTTATTTTATCTTTTTCACATTTCAAGAGTGGTGTGGTGAGGCCCGTAGTGCAGCAAGGACCAATGTCCTCGCCATACCACTCCAAAATTGGACATGTTCGGGAGTGCAAGCATGGCCATACATGCTCCCGGATCCCACTTTCGAAAATGAATTCCGGAGTTGTCAATTTGGACCCCTAAGAAGTGGTTCGAGAGTACTCTCGAACTTCCTTCCCGCCCCAGCCTGCCTCCGACGGACTCACGAGTTCGACCCAAAATTTGAGAGGTTCTGGTGTGTAGTAAGTGGGACTGCTCTCAAACGCGAATATACCCCCTGGTCAATTTTACGGCAACATTTAGGATTTCGAAAGTGCAAGCTTCGCGCTTCCGAAAAGCAGTCTGTGTCTATGGCCCTCGCTGCACTACGCTTGAAACTTGAAAAGTTAAAGCGTCCTTCAAGAGTTGTCAGACTCTTGAGATGCCCAATAGCGCCGCCATCGCCACACTTACTGTAGACGGCCCCACAAGTGGACACCCAATAGCATTACCCGACAACACCAATCTGGTTTGTCCTCCCCCCCACAAAAAAAAAATCTGGTTTGTCGGCCAAGACTACACACCGACTCTCGAAAAAGCAGAGTCAGTGAAGGGTCCTAGCGACCATCATTGAAAAAAAATGCCTTGAAGGCAGGCACTCCAGAAGCTTCAAGCCTTCGCTCAAGGAGCGTTCTGACACCTCTTGAAAAAAAATCAGGAGCACTTTTCTATAGTGAGTGCGGTGATGACTCACTCCTCGAAGTTTTCGAGATTGAGTCTGACAGCTTTTGAATCCGTTTCGGCATCCTGCATCAAGGGTGCACCCCCACGTACTTGTCTCGAGCCTGGCATAGCGCCCTTACAGACTAACGACCTCAATAGCTCAGTGGGTAGAACTCTGATATATGAGCTTGGAGGTCCTGAGTTCAAATCCGACTATGCTCATTCATCATATGAGCTAAGGGATGATCCTCTACATGGTTTCGGATGGGGACGTGTGCCTGTCCTGCGGGAAAGTTGATGTGGGATGGATGCTACTCTCTTGGGCAGGTGAGTAGTAAGGGGTTGGTTGGGTGCATGGTGATACCGTGGCAGTCCTATGGTGGGGAGGGTTGCCTTGTAGGGAAACCAATGTCGAATCAAGAGGTGTGTCCTACTCTCAATGTCTGTGGACCCATTTCGGGGTGGTGGGTTATCAGAGGTAGGTTGGGGGTAGTTGTTAGACGACGGTCGAGGTCTCCACCATTACCACTGGTTGCTTCTCCCTAGCGAACAGACATAAGCAAGGCTCATCAGTAGCAGAAAGCAACCACACACATCCACATAGACTATGATATCATATTAGCTCACATAACAACCAGCATACTCAACAATTAACAGTAGACATATATGATTCGAGTTGTGCTAGGTTAGTGCTTAGAGGGGCTCATAGGTTAAAACCTGGGTTAGTTCACCATTAGACACTGCTTATGAGTGCCCTCACTACTCACGGGACTAGCTGAGAACTATGTGCCTAGCTCCTGAGGTTCCCGTATAACGAGGCTTGTACGCTAGTGCCTCAACTGGGGCTGAATGTGGGAGTTCATTCAGCGTCGATGCCCGCGTCCGCTGTCTGGTCAAGTTGCTCCAGTAGAGAGTGATGTTCCTCGCATGAGGTAAGATAGAAATGGAGTGGGGGTGCGCCAGGAGATAGCGATGCTGCACTCTTGAAACTTCAAGTTTCAAACGTATTGCAGCGGGCCCCATGTCGGAATCCAAGAGTGCCCTGTTCGAGAGCAAGTGTGGCGAAGGGCACTCTCGACGGGCATGTATGGATTATGTGATTCGGAAGCAGTCCCGAGTTCTTTTCCGGATTAGGGGTGGTGTGGGGAGGCCCAAAGCCAGCTTTCGGCCTCGCCACACCACTCTCGAACTGTGAAAAAGACAAAGATGTGGCGGGTGCATCTGGCTATGTTCTAGCGGGAGGTTCATTCTCATTTTGCACATTTTGAGAGTGGTGCGGGGATGCCATTTTTTGAAGCATTACCCCCTGTTCCTCTCCTGCCCCCCAATGAAAAAAAGGGAAAATTGCATATGTACACCGTTTAAAGATGGGAATACCCTCTATACCCAGTCCCAGTGCCAACTTGCATCTATACCCAGAAAACGGCCGGTGGAAATTATTTGCAG